ACAGTCCAGTGGCACCTTTAAGGCCAGGGTTTATTCAGGTACAAGCTCTCCCTCCTCTGCGAAAACAGATCTGCACATCCCCCCCAATAGCTAGCAATCCAAAACAGTCCAGTGGAGCCTGAGTGGCATATGCAAATAAGTTATGCTAATTAGTTATGCTAATGAGCTCCTGCACCTCTTTTTCTACAAAATGACCCCTGGTAGAGACTAAATGATTAATACAGTATTGATCGCCAGGAGTTTTCACACTGACATTACCAAGGCCAATGGCTGCCAAACCTTATCAACAGTCAGCTCTTTGACAGGCCCTTATCTGATGCCTGATACCCATCAGCAGCCTCATACATTCTTAAACAAGGTTTACACAAGTCCCACAGACAAACTAAGCTGCTGAAACCACACAGGTTGCATTTTCCCCCGTGTTCCAGTTTTACATTAAGCTGTGTTAACTTTTAGAGCCTGCACACGATTTTGTAATCCCTGGATTGCTTTAGTTTATTACAGTTATCCAGAGGAGATACCTTCCTAGAAATCACGGTTATGTGCTGCATGGGCAAAAGTTAAGTTTCTAAACATTCTCTCAAGACAATTTCTTTTTAACCTGTCAAATTCAGGCCCAGTTCAGTTCATAGTCCACTGTGGTATATCACCTAGTCATAGTGGTGATATAAGAGCATGATATTTCCTGGGACAGTTGAAATGATCTTAGAGCCAATTGATGTCAGTAGCATGAAACATAATTTATTGGCTTACAGATTTGCCAGGAAGTAAGACTGCTTACAGGGACGTGCAAACACATTAGAATGTCTTCATGTATTTATTTATTTAGAAGAAGAAGAGGAAGAAGAGATTGGATTTATACCCCGCCCTTCACTACCCAAAGGTGTCTCAGAGCGGCTTACAAACTCCTTTCCCTTCCCCTCCCCACAACAGACACCCTGTGAGGTAGGTGGGGCTGAGAGAACTCTTGACAGAAACTGCTCTTTTTCAAGAACAGCTGTGCCAGAGTTATGGCTTGCCCAAGGTCATCCAGCCAGGTGCAAGTGGAGGAGTGGGGAATCAAGCCCGGTTCTCCCAGATTAGAGTCCATGCACTTAACCACTACACCACGTCTCTAACATTCTTGCACCCTATTGGGAGACTGACCAGTTATGAAGGTGCACAGAGAGTTTATATAGTTATAAAGATGAATATATACAGAGATATATACAGGCTATTGTACAGCATGTCGTGCCTTAGTCTATGAGAACTGAGTCCCCTCTAGCTTACTAAACTGATAGCTATTATGCTAAACCCCAGCCAATCTCTAACAGGGTGATGCAATCATTAGCTCTAACAAGCCCTGAAAGAGTAACACCTGCTAGAAAACACCTGGCTGTAATTACATGATTACTAGCATGACAGCTAGGGCTGACAAACAGATCAAACTGATCTATAGTAACTGCTTGCTACCCCCATCACTCTGACATATATCTCAATAGCCCCTCCCCCCAAAAAAGTACTAGTAGACTATGTCTCTTGATTTCGATCCTCTCCTCAGCCTGAATCTCAAGGAGGCTTATCAATTCTTTAAACAATTCTTAGGGGGAAGGAAACAAGGTCACCCAGCAGCTCGCTAACTCCTTTCCCTCCCCCTCCCCACAACAGACACCCTGTGAGGTAGGTGGGGCTGAGGGAGCTCTGAAGGAACTGCCCTTGAGAGAACAGCTCTGAGAGAACTTGCGACTGACCCAAGGTCACCCAGCAGCTGCATGTGGAGGCGTGGGGAATCAAACCCGGTTCTCCCAGATTAGAGTCCGCGCTCCTCACCACTACACCAAACTGGCTCTCTTAAACACCCTTCTTGGAAAAAGCAGGCTTATTGTTACTATCCTGGCGGGACCCAGTCTCTTCGATATTGTTGGGACGTGATCAATGTTCCCTCTAAGCTGTAGAGTCTTGTGAGCAAAAATTCTACTTTGTGAGCTACCGGCATTAAAGTTGTGAGCAAGCAATTTGGCTGCTGCATAAATTAGAGGAGGAGGAGGAGGAGGAGGAGGAGGAAGAGGAAGAGGAAGAGGAAGAAGAAGAAGAAGAAGAAGAAAAAGAAAGAGAAGAAGAAGAAGCAG